AATCAAGTCGCATTTTTGTTTAAGTGATTTTGGAAGTGGACTTTATATAGGAAGTATGACCAATTACGGGCCTCTCCGGAAAAATTTGGTAGAGTAATTCATATGCATGTAGACAAAACATATTTGTGTCGAATATTATCAAGATAGTTTTGTTTCATATTGAAATATGTGTTTTTAACTGATTTTTTTTAAGTGGACCTTATATGAGAGCTATTACCAATTATAGACCGATACGGAAAAAAATTGGTAGAATGATTTATGTGATTTATATGCATGCAAAACATATTCCCGATAGCTTTTTTAAGTGATTTTCGGAAGTGGACCTTATATGGGAGCTATGACCAATTGCGGGCCTATCCGGAAAAAATTTCGTATAGTGATATAGACGAAACATATTTGTGTCAAATTTTATTAAGATAGCTTTATTTGACAATTAAATATGTGCGTTTAAGTGATTTTCGGAAGTGGGCCTTATATGGGAGCTATAAACAATAATGGACCGATCCGAAACAAATTCAGTATAATGATTTGTATATACATAAAACATATTCAGCTCGAATTTTATCACAATATCTTTATTTATTATGTGCGTTTAGGTGATTTTCGAAAGTGGACCATATGTGGGAGCTATGACCAATTGTGGACCGACTGAGATCTACGTTGGTAGAATGATTGTTGTTCATATTATATTTGTATGTATAAAATTTTGTGTTGATACCGATATATTTGAGGGAGTTATTAACGATAAACTAATTTCCCGGAATATACACCTTTGTATGGTGGCTATGGGAAATATTTAATCAATTGTTATGAGTTTAAACATACTTGATCCCTGGCAGAAAAAAATAATGTGTGGCAAAATTCATCGAAAAATCTTTGGTAGTTTCTGAGAAAACTACTTAAGAATTGGGAAAAAAAACGTAATTTTTTTCGAGGTAGCCTGAAATTTTTACTCATAACTTGTTACTTCGTGAACCGATTTCGCTAATTTTTAATATCAAACTGTACCGGACGATAAAATATTTTTTGGGTGAATTTTTAATGCTTCGTTTTAACGTGAGCGCGTTTTACACAAACAGACGGACATAGTTAAATCGACTCAGAATTTCATAAGAATCAAGAATATTTATACTTTGTTGGGTCTCAGATGAATATTTCTTGGTGTTACACACGGAATGACAAAGTTATATATCATCTATCATCACTAGGGATGCTTTTACATTTAAAATTGCAATCCCGAAATATTTTCGGGATTTCGGGATTACATACTTGAAAATCTTAAATCTTCATGTTTGTGAAGAAAATTTTTTAATCTTGTGGAAATTAATCGATAGAAGATAAATTTAAATTAAAGCAATCCAATTAATTTCAATTCTTAAATAAAAACTCTTAGAATATCATAATTTCAGAAATTTGGTAACTGCATACATACTAGATAAAAATAAATATCCCGTTCAATTCTTCGAATATCAGTTTAGATCATAAATTAACCTTTTCTTTGGAAAATATTATCTACATTCAGAACAATTTAATTTACCATTACCGTTATCATTTGTAGAAAGCTTGAAATGCAAAACTGTGCCGAACGATTTGAAATCAATCGATTCGAATTTCGATCGAGGAATGGTTTATTATTTTCTTGCAAAATACTACGCAGACAACAAAATAATTTCTATTTAAGATAATCAATTTAAAAAAATATGATAATTTGTATGAAAAGCTGCAGAAATTGAATATTACACAATTTTTGTATTATTTTTGTAGATTTAAATCGATTCGATTTTAAAAATGAATTTCATTGTATTGATATTAATATGGGCATCAAATTGATTTTCATAGGAGGTCCTTTTAGGATTTCTAAATTTTGGTCCAAATTTGCGGCCTAAATAGAAAGAGTCTACTATAGAAAAAGAATGTTTATACTTTTTGGATCTACGACGAAATTAAAAAATAAATTTGTATGCATTATATATGGAATCATACCACTTTAAAAAATAAAAGGTTCAAAATGTACAAAATTAGCTGTGCTGAATTTCGTTCTGCATAAGTCAAACATAAATTAAGATCGTTATTTTCAAGCGAATTGAATGAAATTATGGCTCAAAAAAGAATAAAAAAATTAGTAACAAATCCCGGGATTCATTTTGAAAAATACCGGGATTCGGGATATCTTAATCCCGGGATTTATTTTGCAAATACCGGGATTCGGGATTTTTCAATCCTGAATCCCGGGATTTTCGGGATTGGCATCCCTAATCACCACTGATGGTAGTGGAGGGTATAAAAAATGTTATATTTGGGCTGTTGTATTAAATGTGTCTATTGTCCAAATTAATGTTAATATTGTTTAAGTGTGTGATTTTTTAGAACTTCAAAAATCGAACTGAAGCATTTTTATTTAAAAGTGTATGTCTATATTTACTAGGGTATTTAATTATTCGGGTTTTTGGATTATTCGGTTTATTCGACAAATAATTATTTGAGGTTTTATGTTAGCCGGTTAATAATCGGATAATTCAAAATTATTCGGTTAATCGAATAAAAGTAAATTGGATGTTTTTTATTAATTTTATTGTTTTTACAATATTTTTTTCTTATAATCAAGAAAATGATAATGTTCAATTATTTTGAATTCAATTCTATGTAATTTTTTTAATTATTATTTTTCAAATATTAGAAATTATTTATTCTCCTTAAAATCCTCTGGATATTACCTTTCTGAAGGGGGCTTTGTATGGGGGCTAGGGTCAAATCAAGTCGAAATTTCGAAATTCGGCAAGGTAATTAATCAAGGCTTGTATAAAACTTAGTTGTGCGAACTTTCATCGAGATATATCTATATTATGCATAATTATGAGCTCAAAAGCCTTTTTCGGATGGTTCAGTTGTATGGGGGCTAGGTTAATTAATGTACCAATTTTAACCATTTTCAATAGCCTTCGTTATTGTCTCAAAACAAACGTAAATTTGTTAAATCGTTAAATCGACTCAGAAAGTGATGCTAATATTTTAATGCGTTACAAACATCAGCACAAACGCATAATACCCTTCCCATTATAGTGGTGTAGGGTATAAAAAATTTGGTAATTTACATAGTTGAGAATTTAACTCAAAAATGAGTTGTCTGGTCTTACTTTACTGAAATAGCAGATAAATACCTCGTTTTTAAATTAAAGCCGTTTAAAGTATCGAGTAGTATTAAGTATGTATTGAGTAGTATTGAGTAATCAAAAGTAGTAGAATGTTACTGCACTACGAAGAACTTATTAGAAATACTTAAGAAACACAGCAATATTCCTCAAAACTGATTGTAAAAGTAAAGGCGATACCATTATTTTTAAGATTGCTGTTCAAGAATCTGAAGGGTTTCTGTATAAATTCTTCAGAACAAAAATGTTTCTGAAGAATTTATATAAAAATCATAAAATAAATTTTCTTCATTATTGAAAAATAATTAAATTAAAGGAAGAAAATTTATTATAAAGATATTGAATTTTGTATGAAATATATACATATATCAGTTTTACTGTTAAAAAGTGAGTTTTTTATTAATCGGTTATTTGATAGAAATTATTCGGTTTATTCGTTATTCGCAATTTGGCATTTTTAATTTATTCGAACGGTTAATCGACAAAAATTCATCAATTAACCGATCGACGTTTAATCGTTTGAATACCCTAATATTTACCCACATTTTGATAAGATATTAAATATTTCTTTCGAATCTCTACTATCTACAAAAATGTTTAAATTGAAAGTTTAAATTTCTAAATAACAAATCCCAAATTGATTAAGATAAAATAATGGATGATAGATCTGTTATGTAAAAAAGCGTTTTTTTTTATTAAAAAGCGTGATTGAAATCTAAGTCGGGATCAACCTTTATAAAGCGGGATAACCTCGCTTTTGACAGGATGTCTGGTAACGTTATATAGAATACAAATTATTAAGAGAGAACCTTTATAGTATAGAAATCTTATACCAAGTTCACGCGAACAGTTAATTTACTTAATTCGGCCTCTGAAGGACGATAACCAATTAACCCGTTTCTATGACACATTCGTAATTCGTTTTGACATTTCAACGCCACGTTTTTTTCATTAATTATTTTGTCATTTTTTTGGAATATTAGTGTGTGTGTATGATACAAAAATAAGTTTGTTACATTATGTTAACAAATTAAGTTATATATTTTCTATTTATTTGCATTTTTTGTAATTTTATTTGTCTCTAACCAATGAAAACAAACAACTGATTATGATAAATACCAGACAAAAATTAGAGATAACACTTATTCATTCGTAATTCGTACGTAATTCAAACTGATTTACGTACAGCTTGTGTAATTTGCAGCTGAAATTTTGTATGGCCAATCATGTCATTCAGTATGTAATTGGGGGTTGAATGAGAGCGTGAATGACGAATAATTGCATCATGTAAACGGGGTATTTGTCAATTATACTCAACAAAAAGTTACATGAAAAACATGTAGTTTAATCAGAGGTGCAAGTGATGATGAATTGGTTTAATTTAGGTGAAACATGACTGATTTTAACATTAGCGTGTCATTGGCGATCATGTGTTTAGGCGAGTATTTCGAATAATCGAACCAATGCAAATCCGATGATTCGAAAACAATATTTCATTGGTTGAAGCTATTTGGTTTGTATGTATTTTTGGAAGATATATTAAATATTTTTAAGGAAAATATTATAATAACAATATTAATATAATATTAATAGCCAAAATTATTTCCAATAACACATACATATATAACATTTGATAAAATTGATATATTTGAACTAATTTTTTAAACTGCAGAATAGATTGAATTTAAGAAGGCATTTATAACGAGTTGTATTAGCACTAATGTTAAAAAAGTCATGAAAATGACATTCACTTTGTACTACTGCAAAATATTTTTGCAGGGTATTCGCATGTAAAATTTTATCCTAATGCCAGTTTTATTTCTAAAAAAATTACTATTATTTTCTTTGCAGATGTACCATTTCCTAAAACATTTCCAAATCTATGTAGAAAAATATTAACTCGTTTATTTAGAGTGTTTGTGCATGTGTATATTCATCACTTTGATCGCATTGTCAGCATAGGCGCAGTAAGTATAATGGACAAGTATTTGTCAAACTCAAATTTTTTTGTTCTTTAAAATTTTCTATAATAGCTTAAATATAATCTATATTTTTAAAATTTTTTTGTATATTTAATTTATTTTTTAATTTCGTTTGACATTGTTTTAAAATGTTTACAAATATTGTAATTGAACAGAAGTCGAATAAACCAAATGACGTAAATTTAGAAAACTATAACAGCTACAGTTCCCAAATTTTGTATGATAACATTTTGGGCGGACTAGAAAAAGGGGGCGTGGTATAATTTGGGGAAAAATAACCGGACTAGCAATAGGGGCATGGTACCTCCCATATAAATTAAATTTTTACATATGGGAAGATAAAGGAACTAGAATATTCAAATGTTGTACGTGTTGTAGGGGGCATGGTACCTCCCACGTGAATTAAATACAAAAAATCTCAAATTTTGCACAGGCATCTCCCATATAAATTAAACACAGATTCCCATTTTATAAATTCTACAACGGATTCCACTAGAAACGGTTCCTTTAGAAGCGGTTCTACTAGAATCGTTCTTTAGCAAAAAACTAATGTTCACGATAATTTTGAGAACAAAGAATTACTTTATCAATTCTATAACAGGTTCCACTAGAAACTTAGCTACCTTAATTTTAATGTGTTTACTATGGCATTGAAATTATAAAATTCAGTGTTAACAAAACATTTGTCTTTTGGTCGATGAAATTTATTTCTGAGCCACCGTTTGCCGACTAGGGAAGAGCAAGAGCTATGGACAAATTGTTGAAATAATTGGATGCTCCAAGAAAATGATAGAAGATGATGTAAAATATATTCAAAGAACATTTGAATCGAAATATATTCTTTTTAATTCTGATATGATCCCTATGGGTGTACGTAGGCGTTCCAACATTGAATTTTGTCCCCAATGCACAGTGTTCCCAAAGGCATTATAGGTGGAAAAAAGTCATGACTTCCTTTTGGAAGCAGCTAGAAGCATGAAACTTTGGAATTTATTATTTCTTGATAAAAGCATTCTTTGTGCCAAAAATGGGCGTTATGGGTGAAGCGTGCGTGGCACTTCCCATAGAAACTCATATTTTTTTTTTCTAAAATTATGAAATTTTGATGGAATTATACATTTAGAGGTCCCTTGAACCTATTTTGTTAATTTTTGGAGTGAAGTCTTCATTTGCGCATACATTAAAATCATAAATTAATTATATTGAATTTTATTTATACAATTTCAAAAAAGATAATAGTTACCATTTATATTTTTTTTTATATTAAGTAAATTGCATAGTATTTGAAATAAAATAAGAGTTATATAATTTATATTATCAAAAATAGATTTTAAAATACTTCATTCAATATAAAAACCTAAAAATATTTTTCAATTGTATTTTCATTGTACAAATGGATTTTTATTATATTTTATTCAATAAGTTATGAATGAAATTCTTTTTATTCAACAAAAATTTTTTGAATAGTTAATATTCAAATCAACTTTCCTGAAATATTTTTATTTCTTCAAGAAAAATACAAATATTTAAAAATATTTAATTTAATATTGTACTAGTTCCTAATAGAATTTAATATAAAAAAGTGATCGTATGATGAAGATTTAGCATCTGTTGAAGATATAAAAGGTACATTTGCTGTACTAAAACAAAAACGAAGCCAAAAATCATTTATGCTGGTATAAAACGTAGTTGTGCCTATTTTTGTAGAGATATTAGTATATTTGGCATAAGTATGAGCTCAAATCCCAATTTGGGAGGTCCGGTTATATGGGGGCTAGGTGAAATAATGGACCAAAATCAATAAGGTTCGTCCTTGGGCTAAAAGTAATGTGTGTACCAAATTTCATCCAATTATGTTCAAAATTGCGACCTGTAGTTTGATTACAAGGTTTACATGGACAGACAGACGGAATTAAAGGTTGGTATTATATCATTAATTCTATGCATTACAAACATCAGCACCAATCCAATATACCCTCCCCATTAAAGTGGTGTAGGTTTAATAAATTCAACATTTGAATGTCTTACCACAAAGTATACAGAGGTGTCACTTTTGACATTTAAAAAAGTCTAAAATCAGCTATTGTTTGGTGAGAAGAGGTATATAAAATACAGCTAAAAAAATTATTGAATTCGTTTTGTGCGAAAGAGAGGGAAATAGTTTTTTGCTCGTGACGCCTCTGTATACCCTGTGGTCTTACTTGTTTTTTTAAGGATTAGTTGGATTATATGGGAAATATGTATTACATTATCTTTAATTTACCTATACCTTTGTTGTATAAATAAAAGTATTTCTTTACAATTTCTTGGAATAAAAATTGTAAAACGTTGATTTGAATTTTTTGTATTTAAATGTATTTTGTTTGAATAATTCTAATCGTTCAAAAATTGTATAAATAAAATTATTCAAACTTTTATTAAATTTTTTTGTATTCAAATAAAATAAGTTAGACTTTTATTTAAATTTATGATATTCAAATATAAAAAATTTTGCTATCATTATACCAGATATACATTATTTTATTTTCAATGTTAGAAAATGATTTTACTTACATATGTATTAATTTGTTTTTAAATATATAAAATTTGTTCAATATAAATTTAATTTGTATGAATCAAATCTAATAAATTTGTACTATGCAAAAGATAATTTATATTAGAAATTATTTATTATTAGAAATAAAAATTATAATAATATTAAAAGTATTTTTATTTTCGATTCTATTCACATTTTACAGCTATGATTAAAATAAAATTAAAAACTTGAAAATTTTCAATACATCTGAATAGAATTTGTTAAAAGTTGCCCTTTTTATGTACTAAGCAGACCTCTTCCACACCCAAAACGTGTCGTTTGGTATTCCCCTATATGTAAAATACTATTATGTGTTTTTCATATAAATTTTTTTGCTTTCCATTTCGACATTCCGCACATTTTACAAAGCTCTTCCCGAGTTATGGATATGTAATCAATACTTGCATCTAGAAAACGTACTTGCAGGTATTAGCAGTAAATAGTGTTTTCCTTCTAAAGTGGACATACAGATAAATATATAATAAAATATTATACGAGATCTCATTTGAAAGTTACACTAAATATTTTCGACCACAATTTTTACACAATAAAAACATTTTAATAATAAGAGAATAAAGTAACAAGTAAGAGTGCTATATTCGGCAGTGCCGAATATTATATACCTACCATCAAATCATGTGTTTTAAATTTTAAATGTATTTTGCTACTAACTTGCTAAATTTATTAAACTGTTTTATCTATATATATAAAAACAAGTAGTAAAGTATAGTCAGGCATGTCCGACCATATAAAACCCTACACCATGAGTATATTTAAAAAAATTTTATTTTTCATAAAGAAATTTTATGTTGAATTTGACCTTAATTTCAAAGTATTTAAGCAATTTATTGATAAAAAACTAATTTTCCAAATGAGTTTTTATATAGGAGTATAGGTCAAACGTGGGCCGATCCTCATAAAATTTGGGAAAATTATATATTTTTAAATAACAGTTAGTTATGTTGAGTTTCAGTGCGATACAAATGGTTACAAGTCAATTTAAGACGTTTAAGACATTTTTTGAAGGGGGGTTTGTATGGGGGCTAGGGTCAAATAAGGGCCGATCATTACGAAAATCTGCATTGTCATGTATACTTATATAAAACATATTTGTGTCAATTTTTAGAGAGATAATAGTATATTTGACGTAATTATGACATAAAAAGCCCAAATCGGGAGGTACGTTTGTATATGGGCTAGGTGAAACAATGGACCGATTTCAACCATTTTCAATAGGCTTCGTTCCTGTGCCAAAAAACATGTATGGATGTATGTACATATGTATGTATGTATGTATGTATGTATGTATGTATGTATGTATGTATGTATGTATGTATGTATGTATGTATGTATGTATGTATGTATGTATGTATGTATGTATGTATGTATGTATGTATGTATGTATGTATGTATGTATGTATGTATGCATGTATTTTTGTTTGTTTGTTTGTTTGTGCTTTATAGACTGCTAAACAGCTGGACCGATTTTCCTGAAATTTTCACAGTTTCTTCCTGTATGTCTGGAAGGAACTATAGGCTACTTTTTATGTTGAAATTTCATGTGGGCGACGTGCCACGCCCATATTAAGAAAATATTAAATTAGTATATCTGAGATAATATAATAGTTAGAGTCTTCAAATTTTGTCGGAGCAACTTTAGTATCAATATAATTATTTAAGACAAAAAGTGGGCGGATTAGCATTAGGAGGCGTGGCACCTCCCATATAAATTAAATACAAAAAATCGTTTATTTGGGAAACTATTGGAGCTGGAATCTTTAAATTTTGCACGAAGCACTTTAACATCTATGTGAAAATAAAATAAGAACATAAAAAAATACTGAGAAAATTTTAATTTTGGTTTTGTGTAAATAATTTCACAGTGATACACCAAAAAAATGCAGAGGTTCTCATATACCAATTCTGTTTTGTTATAGTCCATATATTACGAATATATTTTTAGTTTTCCCCGATCACTTCGTTAACTTAGCGTTTAAGAGCAAAAGATGTGAAAAAGCTCCATTTTAGAAGTTTTAAATTTTAACAAGTAAGAGTGTTATATTCGGCTATGCCGAATCTTATATACCCACCATCACACCTCGTTTGACTCGAATGAAACTTACTTATGTCGAATTTCATCTATATACTCGTATATTTAGGCCAGTTATAAGCGTAGGGGTAGGGTCAATCATGGACCGATCCTCATAAATTTTTTTAGATAGATTTTGACTCGTATGAAATTTACTTATGTTGAATTTCATCTATATACTAGTATTTTTAAGCCAGTAATGAGCGTTAAAGTCATTTTCTGAAGGGGACCTTATATGGGGGATAGGGTCAATTATAGGCCGATCCTCATAAAATTTTGAATAGTGATTTTGGATCATAAGGAACTTACTTATGTCGAATT